GTTTGCTTTTCACACATAGTAGACACATCTCTCTTTTCCACTCATTTTCTTAAGCTGCCAGAAAGAACAAAGTGTCAGGTCCTACTTTTGGTGCCTCGCTGCTGATGAATTAAGGTTTATTCTTCCTCCTCCTTTTGCCCCACACACGGGAAATCTAGTAAGAAATCATGGAAGCTCCCTTATTTGATGCCAGTGTAAGGTTTAAATCACACAAGCTCCTTCTCGTGAGTAGAAACACCCCCTCCGACCCCACCATCAGATCATTTTAAAGCCCTGATCCAGCCTCCTTTCCTGTTCCATTGAGGAAATTCCAGCTTGGAATGTCTTGAGAGGCCTGTGCTGCTCTCAGCAGACAATAACAGTGTTGGTAAATCCTTCCATGATCACCTGAGATGTGAGTGTGGCACTATCAGACTTGACACCCACACTAATCATTGGTAGGGTCTCTCTTCTTTTGCATGGGGTCACCTACAATTGGAACTGTGGGCTTGGAGCCCTGACAGTGACCACCACGCGGCCTTTCTTCTCTTGCACTGGATGGGAACTCCCTGTGCCTCAATGCCCAGCATGCACTTTATCCTGCCTGCTGCCCACTGGCCCTTGAAGTTCTGTTGAGCTGGGCTGCAGTGTTGGGTTAAACACCGCACCTTTTCTAGATTTAGCTGACTAAATTCAGAAGCTTTGATAACTTATTGACATTGAGAAACAGGCATCAGTGACTGTGGGTGACTCTGCCTTTGGTGCGTGTGAGAAAGTTTTTCTCTTGTTCCGACAAATGTTTCTTCTTCAGAGACTTCACAGGAAGAACAGGATGAGGAATCCAGACAAGTGCCCCAGAGGAAACTGTTTTATGGAGAGGAAGCCACAGGGCTGACAGGAAACCAGACCTTAACCCCCATCTGCACCTGCCCTGAGTCTGGCTCTTGTGCTCAGTGGATCCTGAGCGCCCCCAGGTGGTCGTGTTCCCCCTCCAGGGAGGCTTGTTTCTGGATTAACACTTATATATTTTTTCTAATTGTGTCCCCAAAATGGAGACAGAGTAAACCGTGAATCCGTGCATCTCAGAGAACACAGAGCAGCAGAATAACACACCCTGTCCCCGCCCCCCACTCCCTCCACCCACACACACATTTAGCTAAATCTTATTAAAGCTGATGAAAAGAAAAGACAAACAGAAATACATGCAGACAAGTGGCGGTGAGTAGACGGGGCATTTCTTTCGAAAGAACAGAAAAGATGATGACAGCGTTCTTCTGGTTAAAACCTTACAAGCAAGAGGAAAATTGCTGGTATCTGAAGTGTTGGATGAAAAGTCAACTCATTATTTTATAACCCATGAGTGTTCTCTAAAAAGTGAAAAAAAATTCTACTATTTCTCTTTGACAGCATGAGGGGCTCAATGAATTCAGGCTCTCATGAGAACAGTGAAAATTATTTTGGAAAATTACAGGGTTTGGAAGGGCTCTGACGGCATACAGCAAGTGAAGAAACATTTATTCAGGAAAATCTAGAAAACTCAGTAAGGCCAGTCATTATATTTTATCTAAGATGCTCTTCCTTCCTCCCACATCCCAGCTCAGCATGATGGAAACTCCACTGCAGAAGATGCAGCCAAGAAGACAGGACACCTTCTACCAGCTCCCACCAGAGGAAACTCTTCCCCAGGGGCCAGGACATTGGCCCTCTGACCCTGCCCACAGCACGTGATGCTGAGGCTCAGTTCTGGACAAGAGCTACTGAGAGCCAGAGACTCACTTCTTCCCTGGAGCCCCACTCATGGATGGAGGCTCTGCCCTGGGTCCAGAGCCACTGGGAACATTGGGTCCCTGGTTTCTAGCTCTGTCCTATGGCAGAGGTTCCCCCCACCAGAACCAGACTGCTGAGAAGGTGGGAAGCTTCTGCCCGACCCTCCCCTGAGCTCTCAGCTCCTAGGCTGAGGGATAAAACAGTTCAACTTTGTCTCCACCTGCAGAACCTTGTTGAGGAGCTCTGTCCCAGGAGAGAGGGGGCAATGGAATTCAGTCATAACATATGATCCTTAATTACTCCTAAACATCCTAACTTCAGTAACAACAGAATGTGGAAAAATTGAAAGCTTGCCACTGCTCTCAAAAACAGTGGAGGGTGTGGTGGAAGGCCCTTGGAAGGAGACTGGTGGATGCACGGGAGATGCAGGCTACGCTGCAGGGCTGCTGGCTTGCAGGACAGAACCAAGGACGGGCAGAGCTGGGGAAGGTTCTCTTGTGGTTGAAACAAATGCCAGACACTCTTCAGTGGAGCCCATGTTTGTTTGGTTCGGTCTGTGAAGCAATTCAAACCTCAGTGCATGGTTGAATATAGTAGAATTTTCCATCTGCAAGTGCTGGAGCTCAACATCTGGGCCTGGTCAGGAAAGAGACAGAGAGAGCCTAGCTCAAACCACTGACACTTGGGGTTGACAGTGCTGCTTACAGCTGTGTCCCTTTGATCTTTGAGACTGGCTTCTCTCACTTAGCCTAATGCCTGGAGTTCAACTGTAATGGTTTGTGAATCGATCATTTGATATTTTTCTTTTTTTTGCTGATAGTGTTCAATTTATAGTTGCTTCCTAGTTTTTTCACCTGTTCAGATTTTGAAACATTTATGTTATTTTTAGTTTCTAACACACACACAAACACACATACACACACACAATATCTTGAATATTTGAATAGAGGTTTTGTATGAATATAAGATTGTATTTCTCTGAAGCAAAATTCAAGAGTGGGATATTTAGGTCATGTGTTAAGGGCATGTTTGATAGTAGAAACAACTAAAAATGATTTTCCAGAGTAGCTCTTTCATTTTGCATTCCCATTAACAATGTCGTAGACACTAGAAACCTGGCATGCTCACCAGCATTGGTATTACCTGTATTTCTTCTTAATTTCAGCCATTCTAAAAGGTGTATAGTGGTGTCTCATTGGGGGCTTGATTTGAATTCCTTTAATGGAAAATCCTGTTAAGAGCCTGTTCATATGCTTATGTGTCATCTGCACATCTTCTTTGATGAAATTTCTGTACAAACCGTTGCCTATTTTATCCATGATTTGTTTCTTTTTCTTTTCTTTTTTTTCACAATTGAGTCCTGAGAGTTCTTATTATAATTAAATTGGTGGTTATATGATTTGCAAATAGTTTCCCATCTGAAACTTGACATTCATATTCTTATAGTTACTTGAGTAGAAAACGTCTTTAATTTTAATGATGTTCAACTGATAGTAATTTCATTTATTGATCATTTTTTACATTTTATTTTATTTTATTTTAGAAGGAGTCTTGCTCTGTCGTCTAGGCTAGAGTGTAGTGGCACGATCTCGGCTCACTGCTACCTCTGCTTCCTGGGTTCAAGCAATTCTCCTGCCTCAGGCTCCCAAGTAGCTGGGATTCCAGGTGCCTGCCAGCACGCCCGGTTAATTTTTGTATTTTTAGTAGATGGGGTTTCACTGTGTTGGCCAGGCTGGTCTCAAACTCCTGACTTCATGATCCACCTGCTTTGACCTACCAAAGTGGTGGGATTACAGGCGTGAGCTGCCATGCCCAGTCTAAATTTTAATTTTAAGATTATTGGTCAACTGTTAATTATTTTATATTTTTAATTTTTTGTTTGTACATTTACTTATATAAACTTAAGTGCTATGAGTGCAACTTTTGCACATGAATATATTCCACAATGGTCTCAGCTTTTAGTGTACTATCACCCAAATAATGTACATTGTACCCACTAGGTAATGTCTCCTCATGCTCCCACCTTCCACCTCCCATCCTTCTAAGCCTTCAGCGTCCATCATTTCTCTCTCCATATCCTTGTGGACACACTGTTACCTCCCACTTATAAGTAATAACGTGTGACATGTGACTTTCTGTTTGTGAGTTAGTTCACTAATTATATTGTCCCCAGTTCTAGGCTTCTTGCTGCAAAAGACACAGTTTCATTTCTTATCATGGTTGACCAGTATTGAATTGGGCTTGTGTGCTATGTTCTTTTATAAAATCATCTGTTGGTGGACACTTGGGTTGACATGTGTGCTATTACGAATAGTTTTGTGGTAAACATAGAAGCATGGATATCTTTTTGAAATAGTGATTTATCTTCCTTTGGGTAGTTACCCTATAGAGGGATTGCTGGATCAAATGGCAGTTCTATTTACAGTTTTTTGGGAAGACTCCATACCATTTTCCATAGAGGTTGTCCTTGTCCACATTCTCATCTACAGTGTTGATGAGCTCCCGTTACTTTCCATCCTCACCAACATCTGACACTTTTGAGTTTTTAGTAATAGTCACTGTGGCTTTTGTAAGATAATATCTGATTGTGGTTTTTAATTTGCATTTCCCTGATGGTTAGTGATGTTGAGCATTGTTTATATATGTATTATCCATTTGTATGTGTTCTTTGGAAATGTCTACTCATGTCCTTTGCTCATTTTAATGGGGTTATTTGGTTCTTCTTCCCGTTGTTGTTGTAGAGCTTAATTACTTGTAAATTCTTCGTATTAGTTTCTTGTCACAGGCAAGGTGTGCAAAAATTTTCTGTCATTCTGCAACTTGCCTGTTCACTCTGTTGCTGTGAAATATCTCTTTAGTTTAATTCTCATTTGTCTATTTTTTTCTTGGATGTGCTTTGGCGGTGTTAGTCATAAATTCTTTACCTAGGTCAATGCCCAGAAGAGTTGTCCTGGCATTTTATTTGAGTATATTTATAGTTTGAGGTCTCATGCAGGAGTCTTTAATTCCTTTTGTGTTGAGTGTGTGTGTGTTGAGGGTAGGGGTCTAGTTTTGTTCTTCTGCATGTTGATTTCCAATTTCCCCGGCACCATTTATTGAATGGGATGTCCTTTTTCTGGTGTATCTTTTTGTTAATTTTTGTGAAGTTTGTCAAAGATCTTTTGGCTATAGATCGTGTGGCTCAATTCTGGGTTCTGTAAAATGTACCCGAGAGCCTTGATTCTCCCGAGGCCTCAGTACTGACCTGCTCACAGTTAGAACTCCGTTGACTCAGTGGTGTTTCGATGACTGTAGTGATTCGGTGTCATGGGGTGGTTTTCCTAAAATTGTGGACAATTCTGTTTTAATGTTCAAACATGTGCTAAAAATTTCATGATAAATGTGTTTTTGAATTTTCCTTTTCATTTCCATGTTACTCCTCAAACTTACTGAGATGGGTTTGTGATGTCAAGATGAGGCATTTTTCTTTCCAGGTGTTGGATTTTTTACTTATATGGGTATTTATGAGCTCCCTGTGTGGAAATAAGCCTCATCCATCACACCTACCTGATGATATATTTAGAAATTTATTTGTGCACTGCCCCTGTGAGACTCTCCATGATGATGACACATTTCATCTATTTTATTGTTTCATAAAAGTACTAGTGTACCTTCCACTCTAGAAGAGAAGATGCTATCTGGATTTTCGTAATTCCTCCTGCTCTCTCGTCTTCACCTTCTTCCTCGACACCATTTCTGCAGTTTAAGAATGACATACGCCATAGACATTTGTACTTGGTCCCTTAAAGTGATATGAACCTAAGAAACTGGTGGCCGCAGATCAGTGATGCATCTGGCTCAGGTAATAGGAGCCTTTCATGCTGAATCTTGTCACACAGGATACAGCCTCTGCTGTGTCCTGTAGAATTAAGCATAGAATAGACAGTCTCATTGCCAAAGGAAAAAAAATAGGGGGCAAAATGGGTGGTATGTCTCCAGCAAATACAATGCATAGCAAAAGCCATATGCTTTAAGCCCCCAGTGTAATCTTCTCCAGAAAAATCTTTTTCCTTCTCCTGTTATTGGGGCAGCAGAATCAACTCCAAGGCTGCAGGCAGAGGCACCGCTCCTGAGGCACTGCTAGGCTAAGCTCCCATGTCAAAGGCCTCATGCAGCCCTACACACAGGGCTTACTGGGTGCTCCCAACCCAAGCCTCTGTTGGGTGGTTTCTTCCTCAAGGTTTTAGAAACAGGTTTTCTAGTCTGTTAAAATAAAGGCAGTGGTCTCATGGTTTCTAAATAAATTTAAAGCTTATTTTTCTCCCTTCAAGAAGAATCATGTACATTTGCAGCCAAATAGCTCTATTATTCCAGGCCATTAAATCTGAAAAATCTAACAGTATTCTTCAAATTTACTTGGGTCAATTCTCTTTCTTTAAAACTGGAAATGTTTCTTTTCACAGAGTATCTTAGGCTTGTTACTGAGTGATACTTGAGCCATATACTCAGTGTTCTTTGTAGAATACACTTTCTGATTTTTGCAATATGGATAGGTTGGGAATTTTCTAAGCCTTCAGGTTTTGTATTCTTTTTAGTTTATAGTCTTTCTGATTTTAATTTATCTACCTCACTTATTATAAACACTCAGGAGAAACCACGCAAAATACCTTCAACACTTTACTTAGAATTATTCTCAGCTACTCACAAGTTCTCACTAGTCACAAGTTATCATCCATTAAATTTTATAACACAGTCCAGCCAAGTTCTTTTTAACAAATTTATGATAAGGATCACCATTCCTCCACTTTCCAAAACCACTCTACTCATTTCTGTCTATCCGAATGACCCTCAATATAAAAATTTCTTCATGTATGTCAATGGTATCCATCATTTTACACACAACCCAATTCCAAGCTACTTTCAAAATGTTTAAATAATTGTAACATCAGAATTCCACTTCTGAACCCCAAATTTTCTTTCATTAGTTTAAGCTGCCATTACAAACTATCATACTTGTTGACTCACGCAGCATTCATTTTATTTCATTTATCCGTGCTGTGAACTCCAAGATCAAGGTGCTGACAAGATAGGTTTTATTTTGAGCCTTCTACTTTTGGCTCAGAGCAGCCATCATATTGTTACTTGATCATATGATCTTTTCATTGTAGGACGTGTGTGTGTGTGTGCGCGTGCTTGTGTGTGCGTGAGAGAGAGAGAATATATAGAGAGAGACTGTCAACTGAATCAGTCTGAGTCAGATGTGCACAGTTTTACAAGACGAGGGAGGATAACTGTGAAAACCATCAGGTTTTAAGGACCCCAACCCTGAGTGAGCGTCTCTCTTGGTTCCCATCAGAACTCAAAGCCTGTTCTTTTTTTTTTTTTTTTTTTGAGACAGAGTCTTGCTCTGTGCCCCAGGCTGGAGTGCAGTGGCCGGATCTCGGCTCACTGCAAGCTCCGCCTCCCGGGTTCACGCCATTCTCCCGCCTCAGCCTCCCGAGCAGCTGGGACTACAGGCACCCGTCACCTCGCCTGGCTAATTTTCTTGTATTTTTAGTAGAGACGGGGTTTCACCGAAAGCCTGTTCTAATCAGAGATTCCCATGGAGGACTCTGCCCTAAGTCTAACTGGAAAACACTCTCCAGGTTCCCCTGAGAGTCCTCGGGACTTTCATCCTGCTGATCACAGGAGGATTATCTGCACCCAAAGTGGCACTGTTCTTTCTATGGAGGTGAGGGTGTGTCTTCCTGTTACAAAAAACAAAGAAACAAGAAGGACAAAAACGTTTTGCATTTACAGACATGAACCGTTAGTACAGATTGTAAATCTGGAGACGTTCCCTGGGGAAATTTGACAATGAGGCAGCCGCAGACCATGACAGGAAGCCAGGCCTTAGCAGCACCGGCTCCTGCCCCGAAAACAGCCCCGAGCTCAGTGTCCGGGCGCCCCCTGGTGGTCACGGGGACCCCTGCAGGAAGGTTTGTGTCCCCGGCGCCCCCTGGTGGTCACGGGGACCCCTGCAGGGAGGTTTGTGTCCCGGGCGCCCCCTGGAGGCCCCGCGCGCCCCTGCAGGGAGGTTTGTGTCTGGGCTCACACTGACCTCCCCTCACTGTGTCTGTGGTGCAGTAATACACGGCCGTGTCCTCGGTTTTCAGGCTGTTCATTTGCAGATACAGCGAGTTCTTGGCGTTGTCTCTGGAGATGGTGAATCGGCCCTTCACGGAGTCAGCGTAGTATATGGTTTTACCAGTGTAACTAATATATGAGACCCACTCCAGTCCCTTTCCCGGAGCCTGGCGGACCCAGCTCATGCCATAATCACCAAAGGTGAATCCAGAGGCTGCACAGGAGAGTCTCAGGGAAGCCCCAGGCTTTACCAAATCTCCCCCAGACTCCACCAGCTGCACCTCACACTGGACACCTGCAAACAAAGAGAAAGCCTGGTCAGAAACTGCCACACAAACCCACTGTTTCTCTCATATCCACTCACACTCAATCTCTCAAGTTTTCCCTGAATCACCTTTTAAAATAGCAACAAGGAAAACCCAGCTCAGCCCCAACTCCATGGTGGGTCTTCTGTGTTCGGGGCTGATCCCCAAGTGGAAGTGCCTTGGAACCCAGGGCTAAGGCTCCTGTCTCAGAGCTGCAGGGTCAGGGTTGGGTCGGTTTTCATCAGTAGAGGGAGGACCCTATTTGCATGTCTCCTACTATATAGCAAGCTTCAGGGTGGGACGCTTGAGGAGTAGGCTGTACCTAGATAATAAGACGGTGCCCTGCAGAAGTTTGCAGATAATGATGGAATTTGGAAAATATGCTGCCTTATTATGAAATTGTACTGTGATAAGCACTTTGCCCTGATCACCCTATTTCATCTTTAAATATTTGTGTAAATTATGTTCTGTAGGAGTCAATATTTTCTCCATTTACAGATGTAGAAGTGAACCCACACGTGGTGGGGACTCTGTATGCATCTAGGAGCTCCTGTCTGGAATGCGTGAAGCCCAGTATCTGGTCCTGTGCTCCTTGTCACTGGCTCTGACTGCTCCCTAAACCAACTCCAGGACAAAGCTGGACGTTCCTACTGTGGTTTTCAGAACCCACCTTCTGTAATAAGAGCATGTGTGATGTTGCCGCATTCCAGCTCTCACCTGAAAATGTGGAGAGAACTAGGGGCCAGGCACATTAATTTTCAGGTACTTGTGACATTTAACATATTTTTGTATCTTTCTATTATTCCATGCCTGTCTAAATTTCCATTTGTTTGCTTGTAATACATTCTACGTGGCTTAATTGAAAGATAATAAACTTCATATATTTAAAATGTACAATTAATAAACGTGATGTGACTCATCATTATCAAGAAAGTGGACAAGTGCATTATTCTCAACAATTTCTCTTGTTCTGCTGTATTCCTCCTCCTCTCCCCTTCCCTTCTTCTATTATTTCCCCTGGCAACTACTGATCTTCATTATATTTTTTTAGATATATCTTTATTTATCAGAATTTATAAAAATGAAATTACGTTGTATATATTCTTATTTGTTTGGCTTATTTTACTCAATATAAATACTCAGCTATTTTACCTTGTTGTTCTGTGTCTCAGGCATTTATTTATTATAAATGATGGGTAGTATTTTAGTGAACAAATATACTATAATTTGTCTTTCTATTAAGCAACTGTACAATATTTGCATTCTTTTATTACTCTGGGTCTTACCAAAAAAATCTGCAACTCAGTTTTGAAATGTACATAGATGAAGAATGTATTTTGCTTATTGCTTATTTTTTTACAATAACAACATCAACAATAACAGATAAACAGAGAAGATGGAGTTTTGTAAATTTTTAAAAATATTTTAAATACTTGAAGTTTTAAGAGAAACATCAAATCTGAAATCCAGGGAGTGGCCAGTTCTTGTAGGCAGTAACCAGGCCAGGGTATGAGCTGAACTGGGGCAGAGTCTGGCATATAAAATGTGGGCTACTACAAGATAAAAACACACATATATATTGGATTGCTTGAAGTCAAGTGTGGTAAATCTATTGTGTGAATTTCTCAGGGACCACATACTGAAGAGCTTTCCTATCCTCTTGAATCATTTTATCCCAATAATGGGGAAAGTCACAAAAATCTTTCTCTGCCAATGTGTCTGTCTGAGAGAGAAAAAAGAACCCACACTCTGAAATGCATTTGAACCTACCTCCTTTATCCTCTTTGCAGAACTAAGAAATTACTCTGCAGGGGCAAGCCACCAAAACCAGTATCTTAGGGGCGCTCGGGCAATCCCTTAGGAACTGAGATGGGAAAAGAGATCTTCACCTAAGTTCCATTGAGAACTACCTCCCCCTTTCTTACTGAATCGGAGCCTTAATCTCCAGGTCAGTTCAGCAAATCTGGAAGGTGATAACACCATAATAGAATATTGGAGCTGTGGGCGGGAACAACTGGGGAAAACAAGAGGACTCTCCCCAGGGAAAAGAGCAAGAACACACAGACGTACATCTCATCTGAAGGAAGTTCAGAAACACTGGAAAGCTGACACCCAGACTCAGGATCACAATATGGACCCATGACAGGTCAGAAAACATCCCTTTATTCTCTTGCCTTCAACCAATTTTACAATTGTCAGTTGAATATGATATCTTTTTTAAAATTATACTTTAAGTTCTAGGGTACATGTACACAACGTGCAGGTTTGCTACATATGTATACATGTGCCATGTGGGTGTTCTGCACCCGTTAACTCGTCATTTACATTAGGTATATCTCCTAATACTATCCCTCCCCCCTCCCCCACCCCACGACAGGCCCCGGTGTGTGATGTTCCTCACCCTGTGTCCAAGTGTTCTCATTGTTCAATTCCCAACTATGAGTGAGAACATGCGGTGTTTAGTTTTCTGTCCTTGCGATAGCATGCTCAGAATGATGGTTTCTTACTTTATCCATGTCCCTACAAAGGACATGAACTCATCCTTTTTATGGCTGCATAGTATTCCATGGTGTATATGTGCCACATTTTCTTAATCCTGTCTGTCATTGATGGACATTTGGGTTGGTCCCAAGTCTTTGCTATTGTGAATAGTGCCGCAATAAACATACGTGTGCATGTGCCTTTATAGCAGCATGATTTGTCATTCTTTGGGTATATATGCCCAGTAATAGGATGACTGGGTCAATTGATATTTCTAGTTCTAGACCCTTGAGGAATCACCACACTCTCTTCCACAATGGCTGAACTAGTTTACAGTCCCATCAACAATGTAAAAGCATTTCTATTTCTCCACATCCTCTCCAGCACCTGTTGTTTCCTGACTTTTTAATGATCACCATTCTAACTGGTGTGGGATGGTATCTCATTGTGGTTTTGATTAGTATTTCTCTGATTGCCAGTGATAATGAGCATTTTTTCATGTGTATGTTGGCTGCATAAATGTCTTCTTTTGAGAAGTGTCTGTTCATATGTTCATACCCTTTGCCCACTTTTTGATGGGGTTGTTTGATTTTTTCTTGTAAATTGAAGTTCTTTGTAGATTCTCAATCTTAGCCCTTTGTCAGACAGGTAGATTGTAAAAATTTTCTCCCATTCTGTAAGTTGCGTGTTCAATCTGATGGTAGTTTCTTTTGCGGTGTAGAAACTCTTTAGTTTAATTAGATCCCACTTGTCACTTTTGGCTTTTGTTGCCATTGCTTTTAGCGTTTTAGTCATGAAGTCCTTGCCCATGCCTATGTCCTGAATGGTATTCCCTAGGTTTTCTTCTAGGGTTTTTATGGTTTTAGGTCTAACATTTAAGTCTTTAATCCATCTTGAATTAATTTTTGTATAAGGTGTAAGGAAGGGATCCAGTTTCAGCTTTCTACGTATAGCGAGCCAGTTTTCCCAGCACCATTTATTAAATAGGGAATCCTTTCCCCATTTCTTGTTTTCGTCAAGTTTGTCAAAGATCAGATGGTCGTAGATGTATGGTATTACTTCCAAGGGCTCTAACCTGTTCCATTGGTCTATATCTCTGTTTTAGTACCAGTACCGTGCTCTTTTGGTTACTGTAGTCTTGTAGTATAGTTTGAAGTCAGGTAGCATGATGCCTCCAGCTTTGTTCTTTTGGCTTAGGATTGTCTTGGTAATACGGGCTCCTTTTTGGTTCCATATGAACTTTAAAGTAGTTTTTTTTTTTCCAATTTTGTGAAGAAAGTCATTGGTAGCTTGATGGGGATGGCATTGAATCTATAAATTACCTTGGGCAGTATGGCCATTCTCACAATATTTATTATTCCTATCCATGAACATGGAATGTTCTTCCATTTGTTTGTGTCCCCTTTTATTTCATTGAGCAGTGGTTTGTAGTTCTCCTTGAAGAGGTCCTTCACATCCCTTGTAAGTTCAATTCCTAGGTATTTTATTCTATTTTAAGCAATTGTGAATGGGAGTTCACTCATGATTTGCTCTCTGTTTGTCTGTTATTGGTGTATAGGAATGCTTGTGATTTTTGCACATTGATTTTGTATCCTGAGACTTTGCTGAAGTTGCTTATCATCTTAAGGAGATTTTGGGCTGACACGATGTGGTTTTCTAACTATACAATCATGTCATCTGCAAACAGCTACAATTTGACTTCTTCTTTCCTTAATTGAATATGCTTTATTTCTTAATATGTTCTGGAAAACCCGGCAAAATGGACACATTAGGGAACTCTTAGAGGCACTCCTATATCCCAGATTCCGGGCAAGTATAAAGGTGGAAGTCAACGCAAAAAGAAGTAACACTGAAGCTAAGAAAACTGCCACACTATATCATATCCTCAGAAGAGAAAACTGCTGAGAGAGTCACAGATGTTATCAAAAATATCAAGGCTTAGCCTCTGATCTTAAATACAAATGAATGAGAAAACATCATTATCAACTTTGTTTAGATAATTTGTGCCAGATTATTTCAAATGCATATTTGTTGCATTTCAACTCTACAGTTTATAGACAAACTGGTTATCAGATTAAATAAACAAATTGAGGGAATAGCAGAGGTTAATTCTTGACGAGGTGTGACCCAGCTAGCCACAAAATCCTGGGAGAACCCTAACATTGGGGCCTAGACAGAAACCAAGCCACAGGGCCCTTTGGACACATTTAGGTAAACTTTCCTTACGGGGATGTGAATGTATTTTATTTATCATCTATCTGTTCTCCATGTCCTGAAATAATTCCTTGAGAAAAGGCTACAGCCCTTTCAGATGGTTAAAAACTTTTGTATTTTGTATTTTTAGCCTCTAACCTGCCAGGGTTTGCATGTGCATCAATTGAGTGAAGCACACCCATGAAAGGAACTATTATAAAGTGATTCTGTGATGCATGGCTGATACTAAAGCACGGCATTGTTATAACCTCCCATAATCTTCCACATAAGTTTAGAAGAATGATATTCTTACATTAAAATTATCATAATTTTAATAAACCCTGGAACTCCCTTGGACAAATGTACTCCTACTAGCACTGTGGCATTATGGTCCTCTGCCCCAAGGATGCTTCCGTTATTGTCCTATGACTTGGTAGCTGGAAAAAATACATTTAGAGGTTTTACCTCCAATACTAGCCTGTGATCCTGAGGAGATGGCCTAACCCAAGGAGAGGGAGGCTCCAGGTCATATGGACTCACATGAGGTGCCCGCTTCTGCCCATCCTGCAGCCACTCCCAGAAGTCTTCAGGAGCCAGGGGTGTGGATGGTCCTTCGAGACGATCAAATGAGATCTGGAACTGAAGAAAAAGATAATGATCTGGAATAAATTTTAAAAATTAAAATAAAAAACTTTAAACTCACAAATTATGGCTGTTTATATTTACCAGGTAATAAGCAATGTTATGATTTGTGAATACAATATGGAATAACTAAGATAATTAAGAAATGATTAAGATAATTATCATTCATCACCTCAAATTCTTATCATTTATTGTGACAACCACATTTGAAATGACCATTATTTAACAGTAGTTAAATGAACAAATATAAATTAATTGATGTAAATAATTAAAAACAACCAAAACCAATTATGAAATGCTCAAATAATTCACATTAACTCATCACTAAGTTTGATTCTTTAGGACATATTTTTAGAATTATTTTATTGTAATATTTATTATGAATTCCTACACATATATGCATATGTCTGTGTATTTATACATTTTTCTTTCTTTCTTTCTTTCTTTCTTTCTTTCTTTCTTTCTTTCTTTCTTTCTTTTTTTTTTGAGATCCAATCTGGCTCTGTCACCCAGGCTGGAGTGCAGTGGTGCCATTTTAGCTCACTGCATTCTCTGCCTTCCATGTTCAAGTGATTCTCCTGCTTCAGCCTACCGATTAGCTGGGATTAAAGGCGTGCGCCAATACGCCCAGATACGTTTTGCATTTTTAGTAGAGACGGAGTTTCACTATGTTGCCTAGGCTGGTCTCGAACTCCTGGCCTCAAGGGATCTGCCCCCGCTAGGGTTTCCAAGGTGCTGGGATTACACGCGTGAGCCACCACGCCTGGCCTATACATCTTTCTATGTTTATAAATTTACGTCCCTATAGCTTTGTAGCTGCTGATGTCAACAAATGTTAATAAAACTCTGAAAGAATTGGTGCAAATAATTAGGAATATTTATTTCATTAAAGTGTATACTTATATATATATAATTTTTAAATTACTAAAATTTAAATACTAACAATAATAAATTCATAATAAACACAAGTAATAAAATATCACAGCCTGTAATGCTCCTGAGTCCGGCAAACACAAACCTGACTTTTCCAGCTGATGACAAAGGAAACCTCCCCCTGCACCTGCTCCCGGGACCTGTCCCGTCCTCAGTGGGTCCCGAGCGCCCCCTGGAGGCCCCGCGCGCCCCTGCAGGGAGGTTTGTGTCTGGGCTCACACTGACCTCCCCTCACTGTGTCTCTAGTACAGTAATACACGGCCGTGTCCTCGGTTTTCAGGCTGCTCATTTGCAGACTGGCGATGCTTTTGGAATCATCTCTAGAGATGGTGAATCTGCCTTTCACAGACGCGGCATATTCTGCTGTCCCACCATTAGCTTTGTTTCTAATTAAACCTACCCACTCCGGCCCCTTCCCTGGAGCCTGGCGGACCCAGCTCATGCCATAATCACCAAAGGTGAATCCAGAGGCTGCACAGGAGAGTCTCAGGAACCCGCCAGGCTGTACCAAGCCTCCCCCAGACTCCACCAACTGCACCTCACACTGGACACCTGCAAACAAAGAGAAAGCCTGGTCAGAAAGTGCCACACAAACCCACTGTTTCTCACACTCATGTCCACTCACACTCAATCTCTCAAGTTTTCCCTGAATCACCTTTTAAAATAGCAACAAGGAAAACCCAGCTCAGCCCCAACTCCATGGTTGGTGGTCTGTGTTCAGTGCTGGTCACCAAGTGGAAACTCCTGGGAATCCCAGGCTGGGGCTCCTCTCCCAGAGCTGCAGAGTCAGGGCTGGGCTGGATTTATCAGCAGAGAGAGGACGGTATTTGCATGTCTCCTACTATATGGCAAGCTCTGGGGTGGGACTCCTGAGGAGAGGACGGTTCCCAAATGAGATGACTGTGCCTTGCAGTAGTTTAGTGGCAATGATGATATTTGGAAAATATGCTGTCTTATTATAAAACTATGCTGTGATAAACACGGTGAAATTATCACCCTATTTTATACGTACATATTTGTGTAAATTATGTTTTGTCAGAGCCAATGGTTTCTCTATGTAGAAATGCTAAGTATGTGTCTAAGAGCTCATGTCTGGTATGAGTAAGCCCCGATACCTGAGCCTGTGCTCCTCATCACTGACCCCAATTACTCCCTGAACCAGCTCCAGGACAGAGGTGGACATGCTTAGTGTGATAACAAATGTGATACTTTGTTTAGAATTGATTACTTTTTTATAATTTATGTTCCCCCTTTAGGCAGCACCACAGAAGAATGTTCTCAGAATCCTTCCTGATCCTCTATGAGTTCCTGGTGCAGCTCCTGGAGGAAAAGCTTGCGTGGGGAGGGAACCCTCCTCATGTGCAGCCCAGAGGCTGTCCCGTCACCTCACCCACCACTGTCCTTCAGTCACTTCCTGGACACTTATGAGTTAATCTTCCTGAAACATGGGGTATTTGGCAGTGTCTTTCCCAGGTAAGAAAATACTTCCGTTCTGTTTATCTCTGCAGGCCCCTGTCCCTTTCTGGAACACGGGTTGCAGTTGAGTGTGTGGCGGTGGATACTTGGTGGGGGGAGGTTTGTGAGCGTCTTGTCACCTTCCTGAGTGTGCCCCTCATGGGGTTGACACTGACAAGCGCGCGATGGGCTTGCTCAGCTGGAGGATGACAGGTACTTTTGTAACCTGTGACCCCAGGGAAGCTCTCCCGCTGCAAGACCAATGAGACTCAGGCCTCTGGCTAAAGTGCAGCCAGCAAAGGGTCCAGTGCCCAACCCTGAGAGCTCCTTCCAGGTGCCCAACCACTTTGTAAAGGAAGCTGTTTTCCTGCCTGGATCCCATGCATGTGTTTGCATTTTCTGCACAAGGGGCTTCATCCAGAAAAGAGCTTATCATGTTTAGAATCCAGCTGAAGGGAATTATTCACGAAGTCCCTCCTGACCCAAGTCTCCATTTCTCATTAAAGGTCATTATTTATGGGATTCACCAGAAGCTGCTGGCTTTCCGAGGCACAGACCTGCCTCTATACCAGTGTCCCCAACCTTTTTGACGTCAGGGAACCGTTTCGTGGAAGACAATTTTTCCATGAATGAGGGTGGCGGGTGGTTACGGGATGAACCTGTTCCACCTGCAATCATCAGGCATTAGATTCCCATAGGGAGCGCTCAGCCTAGATTATTTGCATGCACAGTTCACAATAGAATCTGCTTGTAGGATAATCTAATGTGCAGCTGATCTGACGGGAGGCGGAGCTCAGGCAGTGATGCTCGCCCGCCTGCACTCAACTGCTGCTGTGCGACCTGGTTCCTAACACAACACACACCTTAACGGATCCACAGCGTGGGGATTGGGGACCCCAGCTGTAAACACTTGGAAACCTTACCCTAGGGGAGGGGGCATATAAAACCAGGAGAAACAGGAGCTCCAAGTCAATGTACATTTTATGGATGCTTGAGGAAAGAGTGCAAAGGGCAATGGCCCCGCCCGCTTTCCCTCTACCTGGCATAATTCCCAGTGACCCACTTGAAGAACCTGGGGTACATCAAGGTAGCTTAGGCTTGTTACACCAGGGACCACCAGAAAAGGAAACGATTGATGTGTTCATGCGGGTTCATCAGTTGCAGGTTATTTATTACTTCAGTGCAGGGTGTTGATCATGGAGAAGGCTGTGCATGTCTTGGGCAGGAGTACGTGGGAACTCTGTTTCTTCTACTCAACTTTGCTGTGAGCTTAAAAAGGGCTTTCAAATAAATGCAGTGTAAAGGGAGTGGCAAAGATATTTCGGAAGAAATGTCGGCCACTTCTTAGAAATTGTATTTAGTCTTACCTTGTGATCAAGTAATCCTCCTCCAAGTGATGTATCCATTCCATTTTAAAATTTATGTCCCCACAAAGCCTCCATGGGAATGTTCGCATCAGCCTGATTGATGGCCGCCTTTCCCACTCCATGAATGTTACTTACAGTGTGAAAGTTGAAAATAATATTTCCTATATAATTAGAGTGTATACATTTTTCTATTGCTTCTTTTCATCAATTACTTAACCCATTTTCCAAACATGTTTAAACCTTTTAAATCCTGTCGTCTCCTCAGCCCCAGCACAGCTGCCTCCTCCCTCAGGGTTTCTGACACTCTGAGGATGTGGTTTTCACACTGTGTGTCTTTCGCACAGTAATACACGGCCGTGTCCTCAGATCTCAGGCTGCTCAGCTCCATGTAGACTGTGCTCGTTGATGTGTCTCTTGTCATGGTGACTCTGCCCTGGAAGTTCTGTGCATACTTTGTGTTGCCATTGTAAGGGTAGATCCATCCTATCCACTCAAGCCCTTGTCCAGGGGCCTGTCGCACCCACTGCATGTAGTAGTCAGTGAAGGTGTATCCGGAAGCCTTGCAGGAGACCTTCACTGAGGCCCCAGGCTTCTTCACCTCAGCCCCAGACTGCACCAGCTGCACCTGGGAGTGGGCGCCTGTGGAGAGGACACAGGAGTGTATGAGATCTCACTTGGCCGGACCCAGTCCCCTCATCAGCCCTGGAACTGAGGATTCTCTTACCTGTAGCTGCTGCCACCAAGAGGAGGAGCCTCCAGGTCCAGTCCATGGTGAGGTGCTGTGCTCTGGGGCTTCTGTAGGGGAGGGATGTGGTTGTTGTGTGATGCTCTCTGGACAAGGACAGATCTGTATTTACCTCGGTAGACACCAGTGCATTTGCATATTCATGAGGTAGATATTTCATAACTCAGGCCACCCCACCCTGAGGAAGAAGATAGGTGACACGTGGACCACGCCACAGCGGGATACAGAGCTCCATGCCATGATCATTGGTTAATGATATTTGTTCTTGGACATGCTCAGATGTCGATGAAGACAGAACTCGTCTTACAGAAACCCAGAATCTCACAGGACATGGTCCTCAATGTGATTCCTTGTTCCTGTGGCTCACTGTCAAGGTGAACTTTCCCTGAGCCTTGCCCTCTGCACAACCAACTTCTGGGATGAGTGTGTCTCCCGATAGTAACACCCACTGAGTTAATAAAACAACCCCTCAATTCCTGACTATAAATACATTTGAAGGGCCTAGACATTTCTTCTTTTAAAGGTGGTTTACATTAATTTTTGAATTAGGTATAGACTACATACACAAGAGAATGCTTGTATATGTACACATCAGTACTTGCTAAATATTTATTTATTTAACACATCAGTACTTGCTAAATATTTATTTAACTTTTATGTCATCTTTGCTTTGAAATAAGGAATATCCAGTCACTAAGAGGAAATACCTCCTCAGTCTCCTGTATTCCTGCTCGAGGGCTGGATCGTCTGCAGGGTGCATCCCAAAACCCACTGAAGCTCAGCTTCCGCCCTGCATGGAAGTTCCTGTCTGGTCTTACAGAGAATTTTTCTCCCAGCATCTCAAGCCTAGTAAGAAGTGGCTGTGCCCTGGCACATAATGCTCCTTCAGCGACAGCGATTACTTCTCACAACAGCTCTTAGAATAGAAAATAGGCCTTAGAAAACCCAACATAATCTACAGGGAGACCTCAGCACAGCAAGCCAGGAATGACTAAAGCCACCAGGGAGCCCCTTCCCTGGAGCTCCAGATGCACTGATATGGTCCAGACACATGAGACGTCACGGAACTGATGGCAAATTTGGGGCAGCCTCTTTTTTATGATTCTCTGGTTGAAGATCACATCAGATTATTACTTTACACACAGACCCTATGTCTCAAAGTCCCCCACCACACACACACACACACACACACACAGACACAGACACACACACACAGACCCTATGTCTCAAAGTCCCCCACCACACACACACACACACACAGACACAGACACACACACACACAGTGGCATATTTGCACAGTAACGAGCCTCAAATTTGCCCTCCTTCCTAGTGTCTTGCCAAAGAGAAGTGCTTCCAACTCTGACCCTAGTCCTGTTATGTTTGTTGTTGTTGCTGTTGTTTTTGTTTTATTGTTTTGGTTTTTTTTCAAACAGAGCTAAAACAAGCTCAGTACTACAGAGATTGGGAACGTGTCTTCTCCTTGTTTTTGCCCATTCTCACCTGGGAACTCTGCAGATGCCCCATGAGATGCAGATCTAGGGCCACTGAGGGAGAGGGTCGTGACCTTGGTCCTGAAGCTGTTGGTCTCAGAGGCTTTAAATCGCTTCACTCTCCTTGACTTGTTCTCTCCCACTGCCTTTGGTTTCCCTGAGTTCTAGTCCTTGGACAGAGTCTGTGCATTGCCACACTTTTCTCTCTAATCCAGATTAATCATGTTGTTGAGGAGGTGATTATTGGGTAGGGGAGCAGTATATATTCTTGAAATTGAATTCCAATGGTTTCTTGCTGTTCTTTCTCCAAGTTTCACCATTTACAAGCAGTCTCCAGTGGTACAGCAGATTTTCCTCCATCCTGTACTCCCACTCCTGGATGCAGCATCCACAGATAATTTTCTTGAGTCATATCCCAGTTGTTTTATTAATTGTACCCCATTTCCATGACACAGGAAGGCTCAGATGAAGCTGTCTGGGATGGAAATTAATCCCTTCCCCTCACATAGAATAAAGATCTTGAAAAGTATTTTTTCTCTGTAGAATCTGTCTGGAGGAAGATCTCAGCATATTTGTCAGAGAATAGTTCTCCTGATGACAGAGCCATGAGTGATTTTGTTTGGATTCTCATCTTGAGAACCCAGAAGTTTCTGGAGGGAAATTCCATGAAAGTGTGGGGTGTGCAGCCTCCCTGGAATTCTTACCCTATCCCTGCCCACACCTGTCCTCCAGACATTTATGAAATTACCATGGAACTATTCCCACCAGCTTGTGCTGCTAACCAAAGAATCACCCAATTTATAAATTTAGAAAGGAGACTTTATTTCTGATAAAGGGTTGAAGCTGCAGGGCAGCCATCTTAACAGGTTGAGAAGCAAAGCCTCCCACAGAGACTGTGAGCAGGCACTTCAAGAGAGGGAGAGATGAGAAATGAATTCAAACAAATGGATTGGCCAAGTGGACACACTCAGCAGCCTATAGAAGGAGCTATGGATATTCACATGGCGTGCAGGCTCCATATGTAATAAGCAAACACACATGTTACATGCATTTCAGGTTTGCGTTTGGGTGAGAACTTAAGAACTAAATGAATTGCAGTTGGGCCCTGCACATCAAAAGGGCTTTGTGCAGGGGCAGAAAGACACACAGTGCATAGCCTCCAGAAATTGGCCAGGACAAGTCCATGGTCAGTGGTTTCTTCTCAGAGAAAGTTACAGAAATCAGTCTCTTGTCCAATCAATGCTCTATTTATGGCTGCGGAACAGGGGCACATTTAACCCATGCCTGGAGTTCCATGAGCTGCAAATGTTTTAATATTGCTTGTCTCAGGACCAGTGCTCGTTTAACTGTTACAGAAACAGAAAAACCCCTGTGGAAGTTACAACATATTCTATTTTTTTTAACTGTAGGGATGAGTGACTTAATCCTTGCCCGGTGTGACCTTAGGTCTTGTTTACAATTTGGTATCTTATTGCCACAGAAAGTTTGTTCCATCAGACTGATGATCACTATTGTAATGTCTTTCTAGCTTTGGGGTCCAGGTTTTCCCTGCAATTTCATTTCTTCAACTCATATAAGAAATCTTTGACAATCTATTTTCCAGGCTTATATTATTGTAAGAATGTGGGTGATGATTGACATGCTCTTTACATATTAAAGCAGAAACCAGAAGTAGCTTCAGACATCACCAGTGACCCGACAGAAGCAGCAGGAATCTCATCTCATTAAGTGTAAGTGGCACCACACACGTAGCTGAACATGCAGGGACACAGAAGAACCACAGCACAGGACACATATGATAAGTTTTTATGATTCTGGGGCTCTGCTCAGGAATCTGGAATTCACATGGCACTACAGGGATGAACTCCGTTGTCTCTCGGGTGATACTGTGTTTTGGAAGCTTATTTCCCCTCCTGTACTGGATTCAGTAGCTGCACCTGGGCCCACACACCTAAAACAAAAACTCTCATTAATTAAACACAGGACCCACTAATAAGAAAGCTGTCCCCAGGGAAGGTGCAGAGCAGGGACCTCTGCGTTTGGGAACCTGCGGCTGTACAGGGAGGTCAGGAGTGTGACCCATTTCCTTCTCCTGCCCCTGCTGGCTGCACCAGGAGCTTTACATTGCAAAGTATATAAAATAGGTGATAGTTATAGGGAAATGCAATACTAAGATGAAGGAATGAGGAAACCGACATGAAATTAAAATAAAACTAATACATTAAATAAATGTAAAACACTATAAGAGATTATTATGGAAAATACAACAAACAAATATTAAAAACCTATGTGTGTATGTGTGTGAGGTAATATTCTTGTAAACTGAATCATAATTTATGTATAAAGTTATTCAAATTGATACAGAATATTCGCATTTGATTCCCAAAAAGATGGAGAAGGATCTGGCACCAGGACTCCAGGGCCATGCTAGTGATTTCCCCTCCTATACCCTGAGGACACGGTGCTTCCAACTCTGAGGATCAGGCTGCTGAAATTGACATGTGAGAAGAGAAAGTGGGATTTTCTGTGGGAAAAGACTGGTGTGAACACAATTTTCAAGTAAATAAATTCATTATACAATGAGACACACTGCCATCACGTTGACAGTGTGTGGATTTTGACATTAACATTATTATTATCAATATTGTTGGGATGTTCCCTGGAAAATGATCAATTGTTACAGAATCAACTTGAGTCGTTTTCATTTCAGTTTTTTCACACTTCCAGTTAAATCACCTAATTTTACTGTGTTTGAGCTTGGAAGTTTCAGGGCATGGGTTACGAATGATGGAGTGGAAGGTCTCCCAGGGGTTAGATGTGGTTCCGCTAAAGGATGACCCAGAATTTGTCCAGAAGCTCCCCTCCTTGTCTAGTCCACATCTACTCCTCAGTGAGCCCCTTCCTACCTGAGTCCTGAGCATCTCTGTGGTCCTGGGCAATGCACGTCTGGGGCATCTGCTTCCTAGTGTGCATCCAGAGCAGAAGTGCTGCTGTCCCTAAGGCTTGAGAGGGAACTGGGTCTCTATCCACCCAGGAGGCCCTACCCTGAGCACTGGGATTCCTCCCACAAGGAGACAGAGTCGGCTGAGTGCCCCCCACTTCACAGAACTACTAGGAGGCAATTTTAGTCAAATTCTAACACACTTTGACTATGCAATCCAGGATTCATGCTTTTAAGTGTTTATCTAACTGACTTTAAAAGTATGTCCACAAAGAAAAGCACACATGAGTAATTACAATAGCTTCATTTATATTTTCCCAAAACTATAAACATTCAGAAAGATTTTCTGTAGGTGAATAAACAAACTGCGATAAATTCATATAATGGAATGATATAGCAATTATAAAGAAGTGCTGTCAAGCCATGAAAACACACGAATAAATCTTAAATGCATATTGTTAAGTAAAATAAACCAGTCTGATAAATCTACACGATATATAATTTAATTTATCCAATAATCTGGAGAAGGCCAAACATTAAACAAAGTAAAAAAATTTCTATTTGCCAGGAATTTGGGTAGAAGGTGAGAAGGTATAAAAAATAGAAGACTTTAAAGGATGACAAAACCATCACATGTAATACTGCAATGGTGGATATGTGATGTCATAAATTTGTCAAATTCCACACAATGTACGGCAGGAAGTCTAGATCTTACTTTATAAAAAATTAAAAGTAAATAAGAGATTAAGGATCCCAACATGGAATGCAGACTATACAGAAAATATATGATGTCTGTATAAATGCATAAAACCATTTCACTTAATAAAGCAGGTCAAAAAAGCTGCTAAATAGCTTTAGAAATAATAAAGTGAATAATACTAAAAATTAAAGAAACTGCATGTCAGCACTGTCCTGCAGTTGATGATGATGTTCCACAAGGAGCACAGCTTGCCAATTGTGATTCTACGCTACAGGAATTCCAGAATTAGACAACACTGGGAATAGATAATGTGCATGGTGCAAGCTCATGGTAGATCTACCATTCTGGGGTCAGGAGGATGGTGGCCCTCTTCTCACAGCTCCAGCAGGTGGTGCCCCAGTAGGGACTCTGTGTGGGGGCTCCCACCCCACATTTCCCTTCCACACTGCCCTAGCAGAGGTTCTCCATGAGAACCCTGCCCCTGGAGCGAACTTCTGCCTGGACATCCAGACTTTCCCATACATCCTCTGAGATCTAGGCAGAGGTTCCCAAACCCTAAATTTTGGACTTCTGTGCACTGGCAGTCTCAACACTATGTGGAAGCTGCCTAGGCTGCACACAGCGTGGGGACTGACTGCACACAGCATGGGGACACTGGGCCTGCCCAACAACACCACTTTACCTCCTAGGTCTCTGGGCTGAGGGGCTGTGGTAAAGTCCTCTGACATGACACGGAGACATTTTTCTCATTGTCTTTGAGGATTAACATTCAGTTCCTCGTTACTTAAGCAAATTTTTGCACCAGCTTGAATTTCTCCTTAGTAAATGGTATTTTCTTTCTATTGCATTATCAGGTTGCAAATTTTTCTACTATTCATGGTCTGCTTTCCTTATGAAACTGAATGTATTTAACAGCACACAAGTCAATTATTGAATGTTTTCCTGCTTAGAAATTTCTTCCACTAGATAACCTAAAACATCTTTCTCAAGTTCAAAGTTCCACAAATCTTTAGGGCAAGGGCAAAATGCCAACAGTCTCTTTGCTAAAACATAACAAGAGTAACATTTGCTCCAGTTCCCAACAAGTTCCTCATCTCCATCTGAGACCACCTCATCCTGGATTTCATTGTACGTATCATTATCAGTATTTTGAAAAATGTTATTCAACAAGTCTCTAGGAATTTCCAAACTGCCCCACATTTTCTTGTATTTTCTGAGCCTTCCAAAGTGTTCCAAACTCTGCCTGTTACCCAGTTCCAGGGTCGTGTCCACATTTTTGAGTATCTTTTCAGCAGGACCCCACTCCTGGTACCAATTTACTGTATCAGCCCATATTCATGCTGCGGATAAAGACATACCTGAGACTGGGAAATATGCACAAGGAAGAGATACAATTGACTTACATTTCCACTTGGCTGAGGAGGCCTCACTATCGCAGTGGAAAGTTAAATCTATGTCTCACATGGTGGCAGACAAGAGATCTTTTGCAGAGAAACTACTCTTTTTCATTAAAAAATTGGATCTCATGAGACTTATTCACTATCACAAGAACAGCATGGAATAGACTTGCCCCTGTGATTCAGTTTTCTCCCACCAAGTCCCTCCCACCACACATGGAAATCATGGGAGTACAAGTCAAGATGAGATTTGGTTGGGGACACAGAAACAAACCATATCAATTACAATGATTAAAAAATTGTAGGTGGCATTGGTAGTCACAGAACTGTGAAATTAGGGGGATTCTCCTGGGAAATTGTCAGATGAAGAAGAAATTCCAAACACTGAAGGAAACACATCCTTAAGCTCCATCTGCACCTGTCTCTGTGGTTGACTCTGATCAATGGGTTCTGAGCGCCCTCTGCAGCTGATTTCCTACATGTGTTCTTGCAGGACGTGTGTGTCTGGGCTCACACTGATCTCCCCTCACTTTGTCTCTAAGACATTAATACACAGCAACGTCCTCAGATCTCACAGTTTATTTGCAGATAAAAGGACTTCTTGGAATTGTCTCTGGAGATGGTGAATCAACCCTTCATGGCATCTGCATAGTATGTGCTAGTTCCATCACTACTAATTCATGAGACCCACTCTAGCCCCTTCCCTGAAGCCTGGTGGACCGAGTCCATGTAGTAGCTACTGAAACTGAACCCAGAGGCACCACAGGAGAGTCTCAGGGACACCCAAGGCTTTACCAAGCCTCCAGAAATCTCCACCAGCTGCACCTCACGCCGGACACCTGGAAACACAGAGACACAGCGATCAGAAGCTGACACACATATCTACTGTTTCTCTCACTCGTATACATCCACAATAAATATCTTCAGGTCTCCAGGAATCATCTTTTAAAATAGCAACAAGAAAACCCCAGCTCAGCCCAAATTCTAAGGTGAGTCATTTGTGTTCAGTCCTCAACACCAAATAGAAACACATATGAATCCTGGGACTGTCTGTTCTCTCCCAGAGCCACAGGGTCACCATATAGCAAGCTCTGGGATGGGATGCCTGAGGAGAGGACAGGTCCCAGAGAAGATCCTAGATGAGATGAGCAGGAATACTATCCTTCAGGATAACATAATGTTATATTATGTAATTATGCATGAATTAACACTTAGAAGTCACTACCTTATTTAATTTTACTTATCTGCCCGATATACATTTAATATAGTCTTTAATGGTACATTTTACAGAAAAAAAAATACTTACAGAACACAGCATTTGTGCAATGCATCCAAGACCTCATATCAGCTCACAGTTATCCCCATTATCTGCTCCTGTGATTGTCACCACTGAGGAGTGTGGTACCCTGAGACAACTCCAGGGCAGGGTGAGACATACCTTCTGAGGTCTGCAAAAGCACACAACTCTTATGACACCCGTGTGTGATTTTGCTGTATTTGGTGTTCACCTAAAATATATAGAAATAATCAGAGTTCATACATGCGAATTTTGAGGAGTTGGCAATGTTTCAAGTGTCGTTATTCATTTTCATTGCTCATTCTCAGCCAATATATTCACTTGTTTTTTATTACTGATTTATTTTAGTATAATTAATAATATTAAATCCAAATTTGTACTATACAATTTGGAAATGTTGAACTAGGTATTCAATGTTTTAATCAGGACATTAAGCAAAGTGTGACCAATTCAATTAACCCCTTAAAATTTATCTCAGTTGTCTGTAATTTTATCTCATCATTCTATTACTCTTGCCATCCCATTCTCAAACAAATTCAAATTTTCTCCCTGTTATTTCAGAATAGTTGCATTACCTGTAGTCTATACAAATGGAATTGTATGATATGTATTATAATTCTTTAACATCTTTTATTAGCACACTTACTGAGAATATACTCAAGTTATTCTGTGACTCAAACACGCCTTGACTGTAAGGCCGAGTCGTATTCCACTACATCAATATATCTGAAACTGTTTAATTATTCACCTATAATAGATATTTTATTTGTCCTCTCAGTTGCTATCTTTTATATAGGAAGCAACTACTCAGTAAGGAAAAGTAAAAAAGTGAGAAAAATACAACCATATTCTACCTCATTGACGATAAGCTTGAACAACTACTAATAAAGGAAATAAAACATTTACACATCAGAGTTCATGTCACAGGGCAAGTGAAAAAACTGCAGTCTAAGGTGACAGGCGCCTGAAGGGAGAACCAGGACCCACATATTATTGCACCTAGGTCTCTTCCCACTGGATGGCATTTCTGGTAGGAAAAGACTAACCTGGATATATTTTGTAAGTGGCTTGAAGATTGATGTGCTAATGGTGTTAGAGTGTGAAGCGTCTAGTGCTTGTAGGCTTTTTCTACAGAATTGGGGAAAATTCCCAATTTCCCCATTGCTGTTGTTCTGTGTTTATTGGGGGAGAAGAACAGGAGCCACTGCTGAATTCCTGAATCCTCTTCCACTATTTCCAGGAGGCAAATCCACTAAAACTCCTCTATGGGAACTGTTGGGGTCAACAGAAACAGATTAAAACAAAGGGGGATGGGTGGGGTGATGTCTGCAGTACCCTGGAAAACAG